AACATATATATGCGCAACGGATGAACAAGCAGAGTGGAGATATTGGTTGCTCAGTTGGGAGGGGCATATAAACGTTCAGCACAGCGAAGTTGGTAGGCTTCTCTCAGTACGTACATCGATCTATCGCATTTGTAGCATTCTTTTACTTACTTGAAGAGGGGCGGCAGCAAATGAAACCAAGGAAATGGGGGGTAAAAAAAAATAAGATAAAATAAAAAAAAATAAAACAAAATATGTTAAGAGCAAAACTTTTTTTTTAAAAAGGCTTCTTATAAGGATGAGGGGGAGAAAAAAAAAAAAAAAAAGGCAACTTCGATGGAGTGAAAATTACGTTTATGTGAAATGGATGGGAAAAATAAATAAATAAAATAATCAAGAAAGAACTCGAGAACTCGCTTAACAGGAACAGTAAAAGGAAAAATACAAAAATTAAAAATTACCCCTTTCCCCCAAATTGCGTAAGTTGGTAGGTATACAATCCTTGGCGAAGAAAAATTGTTGACTGGTGGAGTATAGTATATAGTATGGTATTTTTTTTTTTTTGTATGCCTTCTTTGGTTATAGGGGGAAGCCTTTTTTTTTTTTTCTTTTCCATCTCCGTGTGGGGTATTCTGTTACGGATACAGCGCAAATGGGTGATTTATGCGTGCGGAATTGTATGGCAATTTTTTTGAGGCAATCTTTGCGGCCATCTTTGCGAAAGTTTTCTTCCTTAAATCCACGCGGCACTCTCGTGTGCACTGCGGCAGGCATACGTTGCGCGTACCTACCTCCGGGGGAAGAACAAGCATGGAGAGTGACCTGCCGCACGGTACTGCTAACTCGCACGCACAGTGCCCTGGGAGTAGAAAATACTACCCCCCCTTCTCAATTCATTTGTATGCGCCGTTTTTCGGGGCCGATCAAGCGTACATATGACAGGGCCAATGCGTATTCTAAGCGGCATATAAATTAAGCATATATGCGCAGGTACGCAACGTACTCCTTCCCATCCTCGCTGCCTATGTAGCGGAGGAGTGCCGTGCGCACATGAGCAACACATGTGACAGGAGGCTGGTGTGAGTGGGGAGCGATCCTCTGTGATAATATAATACTCCCCTACGCAGCAACGGTGCAGGCGCGGGGACGCGAACGGAAAGTACCGTGTCGAGTAGCCCGTGGTGGCTATCTGCACGGTGATCGAGGTGTTGACCAATAGGATGGCACGCTACGTTAGGTGAAGTAGCCGACGTGCGTTGTGGGTGTGACCAAGGTGACGACGAAGCTGAGGAATGCTTTCTATCTTTTGGCACCGTTACTGCCAATTTGTTTGGAAGTAAAAAAAAAATTCCCCCTTTGCCGCGTTGTTTTGCTGCCACACGAGAATGGAGCAGTTTGCCCATTTTTAACAGTGTAAGGAGAATTTCATTCTTGCCTATAATGGCCACAAACGTTTCGGGACGATGCCAAGTGTTATGGGACCCCCCAAAAAAGGCGTCCCTATAATAACCTCTGCCTTTTACGTTGGTTGGTATGAGGGGAAAACGCCAAAAGGTGGGTAAAGTAAACGCGTACTGTTGTAGAGTTTTCACGCTATGCGAGCTTCACCCCCGTGAGGCAAATGAATGCGAAGTCTCGATAGACCCTATGGAAGGAGCCCAGTACGGTGGGCATAGGGTTCGATTCGCGCCTGTGTCCGCATTATCTCTACATGTTTACGTAAAGAAGAGCAGGTTATGTACACCCGCGGGATGCAGCTGCAGGTTTGTTCCCCCCGTCGGTAATTCCCCATGCGATGGTTTAAACTTTTACATTACCGAGTTCCCATGTTGCTGTTTTTGGCAACTTCTGAATGAACGTGCCCGGGAATGCCCTCTCCTGTTTGCCCCTCCACATGGGCCCGCCTGATTTGGCTCGCAAAAATTATGAACAGGTCAGAATTTTTTTCCTAAAATAGAGGAAAAATAGCCAAAATGGGGCAAAACCTCCTGGCCAGAAAAAAAAAAAAAAAAACAATACCCACTTTACGGGCATCACATTGGAGTGAGTAGCCAGCCCAACGTCGGATGGGTAGTACTTGGCTTCTCATTCCAAAATGGATCACATACGCCACATCCGGTGTGCACATAGGAAGCAGCACCCAGCGGTTCGTCAGAGGTGTCCCTTTGTGTACACTCGGAAGGGGAAACACTTCTTCTCTCCGTTTTGGCTGACCCATTGAAGCGCTGCATTTTTGCAGAATAGCACGTGTCGTTAATGTAGTTCTTCCCCTTTTTAGTGACACTACTTGGGTGATTTTCCCATGGCGCAAGTATAATGATGACCATGTTGGATCCTCCCCCCAATGGTCAAATTTAACCCAATTGGGTTAAACCACCGTTCACACTTCTCATTTGGTGGAGAAAGACGCCACCGTGACGAGGTTGGAGTTGACCAAGGAAACACGTCGTGAAGGAGAAGGAAGGAGAGGAGGGGAGGAGCAAGTGTATAGAACAGACGCTAGACGTTTAAAAGTTCGTCCGTTTTTCCGTCATGGGTGGAAATGTTCTAGGGAGCTGTCTTAAAATGGGTCCCTTCGGATCGTCCAATTGGGAGAGGGATTATTTTCTTCTTTATGTCACGGTTGAGCGTACCATCTCCATTGTGCATCCTTCCAGTGAGGATTCCCCCTCCTAGCAGCGCTCGAATATCTTGTAGAGCTGCTTGAGGGAGGTCAGCTCGATGATGTACCCATTGGTGGAGAATGTGCCAGGGACCTTCATCACGCTGTTCAACTGAATCATGGGGAAGAAGTATTTTTCAAAAACGAGGTTTATATTTTTGGAGGCCGCCAGATGTTTATTGACATCCACAACGGTTTCGTCCCCCAAGACATTTTCGAAGTGGTAGCTTTGGTCGTCACTGTCTACCGGGGGTTCTTCTCCCCCTTCGGTGGCCGCCTGACCCTGTAACATTTGTATTTCTTTCTCCTTCAGCATGAGTAAGTCGTTTTGGTATGTCCACTCCTTATCATCCAGCAGTGTCACTTTAGAATAGAAATTGGCGATCAAGTAGCATATGCCGTTGATGCAGTTGAGTTCTTTCTCATAATCGATCTGAGTGGCTAGTCTTAAGAAGAGTAGAGGGAGGAACTCTTGTCCAGGAAAATACTCCCCACAGCACGCAGGGAAGGTACACACACACCCGTCCTCAATAATGAGGGAAAAATAATCAGCATACATTTCCTCATAGGAGTAAAACACTTGTTCCAGCTCGTTACAGATCCTTTCCATGTTCTTTGTGACGTAGTCTGGATTTTCGAAATAACCTGACTGAGAGTTGCTCATCGCTACTAGTAACAAATCGTAGAGAGGAATTGGAGGGTCGAATTTGAAGGGCGGGATTCTGCCAATTCGATTAAGAATCGATTGGTAGGTGATTTCTTTTATGATTAGTGGCATTTTTATCATGAGGAGTTTGTCTTTGTACTGAATGAGGCTGTGTAAGTTATCCACTGCTCCAACGTATATGGAGTTTCTCAAACATTCGGTCAGTTCTTTTTTCTCCTTTTCCTTGCAGATTTTTCTGAGCTTCCTAACGCTGCTTATATCATCACATTCACATGGGTAGAATCGGTCGTACTTGGTACTGCTCACATGCTTTTCCACGTTGGCGTTGAAGAGAGCCGGCTTGGGTGCTTCCAATTTTTGAATTTCGTACTCCTTGTCCTCGAACACCACCATCGCCGTGTCTTCATCGTTGTTCGCCGCGTCCTTCTTCACGAAGTAATTCGTCAGGGTGATTTGCCTGTGATCCGTGCGCACCCGTCTGGTATCTAAGGGCTTCTTAGGGGCAGTGCCGGCGGGGGGTGGAGTGTCCCTCTCGACATCGCCTCTTCCTTGGTTCGTCGCAGTACTTTCCTCCCTCTTCACCTCCACCTTCATGGAAGACACGTCGAACTTTGTTTGCACCATGTTGACCGTGGGCGCCCCGAAGCTCCTCGCGTTGTGGAAATTTTTGAGGAACTCCTCAATGCGCTTCGAAATGAGCATTGCTATTTCTTCCTGGTAGAGGAAGTGTACTTCCTTCTTCGTCGGATGGACATTCACATCCACTATGTCGTACTTGAGCCGTAGGGAGAGGTAAACCCAGGGGTAGCTTCCCTTAGCAAGGAAGTTAGCATACTGATTTTCGCACATGCGCTTTAGTATCCCCGATTCGACTAGACGGTCGTTTATGAAGAAGATATAACTTCCCTTCTTCCCTCCATAGGTAGGGTTACTTATCAGCCCATAGCATTTGAAGAAGGTAGGGATCTTCTCTTTCATGAATATGCAACTGAGCTCTTTGGAGATATTCCTGCCATATATCTTTTGTATGGTTAACTTTACATTGTTCAAATTCGTTTCGTAATTTATGTCGAGGTGTTTCTCTTCGTCGAGGATTTTTCTCTCCATTTCTGTATATGTGTATGTCTCTGTGGGGGTGTCATTCGAGACGGTACTACTCCCCCCATGTGAGAGGTCAATCTGCCCTTCGGGATCCTCCCCCATTGTTGTGAGCTCCTGGAATAGTTCCTTCCGCTTCCCTTTGATAACGTATATGCCTCCAATTCCACCGATCCCTTTACCCACCCCTTGAGTATTCAGATCGACGGTGTTACTGAGCCATTTCTTACACGTGAATACAACATGGGGATAATGAATGGCATACTTCTGCAACACTTCGAGACATTTATTGTATTCGTCATTATGATTTAGAGACCTTAGTCTAGCATTCATATTGTAAAATAAATCATCGAACCGTATGATGGTTCCATCTTTGCCTGAACAGACGGTGGGTTCTTCTTGTGTTGGTTTCCCATCCTTATAGGAACAGGTGTAGCAGAAGGGGGCATCCCTCTTCTTCGTCGTTATGGTCAAATAGGAGACGTGCGAAATGGAGGATAATGCCTCTCCTCGAAATCCGAAAGTTTTAATTGACCGGATATCTTTATGGTTCGTTATCTTGCTTGTCGTGAATCGTTCGCATACAATTTGAAGGTCATCTTTATGTATGCCATCTCCATTGTCTATTATTTGTAGTGATTTCAGTCCTCCCTTGTTCAGGTGCACACTGATTCTCGTTGAGTTCGCGTCCAGACTGTTTTCGATCAACTCCTTTAACGCGTTGCATGGACGGATAATGACTTCTCCGGCTGCGATTCGGTTGATGTCTTCCTCCGCCAGTTTGATGATACGCCTATCGCTGGACGGGCAGTTGCTCACACCGCCGCTGCTCCCGCCGCTGCTCCCGCCGCTGCTCCCAACGCTGCTCCTGCCGGCACTCCTCACTGTGTTATGTTCCTCCATGTGGCCAACGTGATCCACGTGTCATTCACGGAGATGCTGCACTGCAGATGACTCTCCAGGGGTAGTGATCATCGTGGTATGTATATCCCACCTGGTATGTATTCTCTTATAGGTTGCTATTCTTCGCCTTTTTTTGTAAAGCCACGAATAGCATTATGGCGAAATGGTAGTCCGTCGCTGCTAAATCTGGACGACGAGGAAGCGCTCACTCCGCTATGGCCTCCTCTCTACGGAGCTCTCCCCATATGCATATATGCAGAGATGGGGGAGACTATCGTGGAGTAAAAAAGAAAGAAGAAAAAAAAAAAAAAAAAGGCGCATCAATCAGCCTTCACCACCCACGCTTTTTTAACCCCTTCAAATGAAGGCACCTCAGTTGTAATGCACTTATTTTTATGCTGCATTTTTTTTTTTTTCTCCCCTTTGTGTGTACTCCCACTGCGCACCTTTCGCTGCAGCGACGGGGCGCCGCGGCTCGTCTGCCTCTGCTTTGTCGTCCCTGGCCTTCGCAAAAAAGGCTACGTCGCGATTGCGCGTCCCTCCGGGGTATTTTGTTGCACACTGTTTCTGTTTCGTCACAAAGGTTTTGCTATATATCTTGTCATATATTTTGTTATATATTTTGTTATATATTTTTTTGCATTTCTTTTGGCGTTTCTTCTTCCCTTTATTTTTGCGTTTCCTTTTGCGTCTCTTTTTCCGTTTTATTTCTTCCCTTTGGAGTCTCTCCGGGGGGTCGCGCGGAAAAAAGGCTTTCTTTTCTTTAGACAAACGGGGAGAGCGCGTGAACAAACGTCCAAGTGGACACATGCGTATGCCCCTATACTATTTCTTTGTTTTTTTGTCACACCCTTTGGGATGATTTATTTGGCGCACCTTTTTGTGACTCACCGCCTCCTCGCCGCTTCCTCACCGCTTCCTCACCATGCTGAGCGCAAAGAATAAGTTCGAAATTGCTAGGAACAGGTCCTGCAGCAGCATAAGAGAAAATCTGATGTGTTCGTCCGTTATTTTGAAAAACTCAAGCTGCCTCCTAAAGAGCAGCAACCCGTTTGAGAACAGCACACCGTTGGACAGGCGGGGTGAAGGCCTCCAGGATGATGTGGCTTCCCCGGAGGAGGGTCCACTGAGAGAGAGAAATGCCAAGGAACTGCACCAGTATGTGTACGCAAGTGAAGTCAACCCCGACGATGGGGTTGTCTTTATGTCAAAGGAAGGTACACAGGACCACGACGTGAATAATGAATTTAGAAAGGGGATTCTCTACGACAAGATTATTATGTCCAATAGAACATACAACACTGCCGTAGACAGTGTGCATAGCAACTTCCAGACAAACAAACTAGAGAATGTCCTTAATTCGATAAAGTTTGAGGAAAACACGAATATTAAAATTCCGCCCTATTTGAAGAACTCCCCCTTGCATGTCCTGTACCCCGAGCTGGATTACCTCCAAGGGGCAACAGCGGAGGAGCGACCGGAAGGACGAGACGACGCGGGGGGTGGGGGGCAGCCAGATCAACCTCTACCTCAGCAATCGCTGCCTCAGCAACATCTGTCCCCCCTCGCGCAAAACAAAAGCCTCAACACATACCTCAGGTACACCCTAAACAACAGCCACACGACAGGGAGAAACCGAATGTATGACTATTTCGAATCGAAGAGAAAAAACATGGTGGAGATAGCCAATCCGAACGATCTGAATCATACACTGCTTTATACGAAGAAGAACAACCCGAAAGAGCTGATATTCAATTTGTACAAAAACAGGTACGTCACGAGCAGCAGCAATCACACAGACAATGAGCTGAACACACTCAATACGCTTAAGAGGTTGAAAATGCCCGTCATCGAAAAAAACGAAAAAGGGGAACATCTTCCTCCCATTGCATCTGAAGTTAACGCCAAAAGGAGAGTGAACCTTTTACAAAATGGGGACACCAGTAAAGACAGGAATGAGGAAGGTAAGAAACAAGTGAGTAAGGGAAGCAAACCAAATTATACTGTATCTCTTATTGATATGTCCTCTTTCGAAAAGGCATCCATAAAAACAGTCCACCTTAGTAGTCAGAAAACTGGAGGGGAAAAAAAAAACATATTTCAACTCACCAAAAAGGCACGCAAAGATGTACAGGTGCAAACTAATGACGACGATTTTGAGAAAGCTGCTAAATGCGATGTGGACTCCGATGTTGAGCGTGTCATCAGTATACTGGAAGGGAAGAAGAATGCTTCCCCGGAAGATACGCAGGGGAGTAATTCACCTTGGAAAGGGGAAAAAGGGAAGTTCTCCATTTCGTACTGCGATTTGAAGGGGCCAGACGGGAGCGGTGAAGAGACGCAAAGTCGAAGTGATGACAGTGGGGAAGCGGACAAATCGGACGAAGTGGAGGACGTGGACAAAGAGGACGAAGTGAACAAAGCGGAAAAAGCCGCCAAATCCGCCAAAGCGGTAGTGGCGATCACGGAGACACATGCTAGCACCAACACAGATGCAACGTCTTTCAAAAGAGTGTCACGGAATGGCGACCCCGGAATGACCCAAGTTATGCAGAATTACAAGCAGTTTCTGCGAACGAGAAGATCCCGTGGGGGACTAAATGGGACCATATTAAAAGAGCAGTTAAGCGAACCCCGTCGAAATGGCCCCTTTATAGGGGGGGTGACTCATTTGAACGGGGCCAAAGCATCACCTCGCAGTCGTAACGATGGGGTGAAAGAACCAAGTGGATGGGATGGGAGACCCCCCCGAAGATATAATCACATGGATAAGTTAACTATGGGATGGTCTAGTCCCCTAGCAGGAGGACAACCCCCACTCTACCTCGATGGAAACGTGAACAAAGCAATTCTGATCCCGAAGGGTTACCCCCCCTGGGTTTACAAGGCACCAGGAGAGACCCCTACTAGTGCATCCCTCACTGGGTCTAGAATCCGTAGGGAGAGCTTTCCCACATATAATGCTGATACCTATGACCCCTCCATTGGGAACTTTCCCGATGTTTGCCTCAACGAATTGAGAAATTCTGAGCCCAGACCTAGCAGAGTATGTGTGTACATTAAAAATATTGCCCCGAGGGGACCCATCCAAAGCTGTGATACAGATCGGTCTGGCGAGGAAAGAAAAGCTGCAACCACATCTGATGAGGAATTGGAGAAGGAGAAAATCACAAACGATCTGCTTCAGAAAAAATTCTACATTGAAAGGAAAAGGAAGCTCTACGAAAAGAGGAAGTTCGAAAGGGCCATTGCCAGCATGATGGAGAGGAGAGCTCTGTTGAGGGAAAGGGCAAGGGACAAGTACAGCCGTCTGGTGAGTGACCATTCTGAGGTTGGCAGCCATCGTGTCTATGGTGACGCTTCTGACGAATCTCCCAGCAGCGCTGAGTGGGAAGGCGCTACCCTTTCAAGAACCCTCAGACGTGAAAGGCATCGTCCAAGTGGAACGTACAATATGACGCTTCTGTCTGGGGCCTGGAGGGATACAACCCGGGGGGGCCACAAGAAGGGTCACGTCAGCAGCTTCAGCAACGTGAACTTGTACTCCTCAAATGAAGAGTCGGACGGTGGCTTCGGCAAGAGGGAGCACAAAGCAGCGCGGAATTGCAGTGAACAGGCTGGAAGGAGAAGAGTGGGTAGCCAACTGGTCCAGTTGGGCGAGGCAGGAAAACCAGACCAATCAGGAGAACCAAGCGAACACAACTCCGTTAACACCGCCTCACCGAGAAGACCCCTCGACGCGGCAGTAAAGGAAAGACGCTCCCATAAGCTGACAAATGGACGAAGCAACCGGGGAGCCGCCCAAAAGTCCATCCCCAACCTTATCCCCAAGTTTTTCTCCAAATCGTGGAGGGGGAGAGCCGGCCGATACGCCGCGAACAATAAAAGGCTCAGGTCGCTGTCCTATAAAAACAGGGTATCCACATTGACCGTCCTAGAAAAAAGCATCCAACCATTGAAGGCTCACGCAAGGAGGAATGTTATCCTTGGGGAGAACATAAGTGATGAAGAAAGTGACATCATTCGGAGGGAAATCAAAAAGTGTGTAGAGCGCGGTGGCTATGCAGGATCGGGCGACGAAACGGAGGATGAGTCAAGTGGGGGAAGAACAGACGAAGGGAAAAAAGACCTCATGGATGAAAACAAATCCGGTGAAGATGAACAAAAAGGTGGAATAAAAATTACCTATCATTTAGGAAGCATCGTGAAGAAGGGTAATCCCACTTCACATGAATGGATTAACACGGAAGATACGTTCATATCTCCACTAAATGAAACGAAACGACACATCGATGAGAGTCAGTACGATCGTAATGAGGAGCAGAAGGACGAGCAAAGATGCGAACGGGGGGACGTACAAACAAAAAATAGGGAAAGGGAAGGCGATTCCTATTCAAGCACACGGAGGGACGAAAAGAGGGAAACCTCCCCCACCGTAGGAAAAAACACAATGGGAATCAGCTCAGTTACAAATGGTGACTCTGAGAACAGAGAAACCAACAAATCGGATAGTCTATTCAGAGTAAAAGTAACAATAAAGAAAGGTGGTGAACGAGGAATGCAATTAGACAAACGGAGTAGTAACATGGAGGACGGTTCCAATCCTAATCGCTATGTTTTACATGAGAATGTACAGAGTATGGATTCTTCTTCCTACAAAGGAAATGCAATCAATGGATACACCAGACGGATAGCATCGATACCGAAAAAGAAAGGAAATTTCAGCGACACGGAAGTGGCCACTAGGAAGAGAAATTTGGAAAGGCTGGCAAAGAAAGGGGATGAGTCCAATGGTAAAATGGCAACCTCGAATGAGGAGATCACCTGTTGTTTGCCTGTTCGGCAATTAATTTGTGGCGCGTGAACGAATGCACAGTAGCGTGTGCAGCACCATGCCTCCTTAGGAACCCCCACGTGCGCACGCGTTCATGACCCTTTTATTTTATTTATTTTATTTCATGTTTTTTTTTTTTTTTTTTTTTTTTTTTTTTTTTTCTTTTTTTTTGCGACCCCCTGCAGAGCACCCCAGTAGGAGAACCTTCCTGAGGAAGAACGATGGCCACGGAGGTGGAGACTATTTAAAGCTCAAGCAAAAAGATTCCGCAAATATGCGAAGCCAATCGCATGAGAAGTTTGGCAACCAGGTGGAAGGAAACAGGGAGACATTACCCCGTAGTGATTTCACCCGTAAATGCGACTCACCCCTATGCAAGGGTCGATCAAACGGAACGGCCCAGCTGCTAGACTTGGAACGTATCGACCCCAACAAGTGGATACAGAAAATTTTCGGAGATACGCACTGAAGTTACGCGGCACAGGGAGAGGTCGCACAAAACACAGACACCTTACCCTGTGTATGTGAAGAAGATATATGCATCTCTGTCATTGTCTAATCGTTTATACGCCTATGCAGTAGGTACACAACTGCAACAGTAACGTTTAGCGGTAGGGTATGCATCTTCCGATCGACACATACATTGCGTCTTGTGCTCCTGCATCACGGAAATGTTTCCTTTTTTTATATTTCTCTAGCATACCAATAGGTGAGGAATCTTCAGCCCCGCTTGGGAAATCCCTACACAGTGAAACGTTGCAGGTTTTACTTTGTTGCACAACGATACTGTACACTTCGCTGCGATGCACACTACGTTGCATACATTTGACGGATGGCGACAAAGGGGGCCAATTTTAAAACAGACTTGCATTCGAAAAAAAACAACACGTGATTAATTCACGAAAGGGTTAATTAGTGGAGTGTTCCGGACAGGGAGAGGAGCTTCATCAATAGGGCATACTATATGGGGAGTATTTCGAAAAAGTGGCTGCGCTGGGGATACGACCAAGCGCAGGCTGACTCACTCCCACTGGGGGGAAAACTTGAATGAAAAAAAAAAAAGGAAAAAATGCCGAAAAAAAGAAGGCCCAAAAAAAATAAGAAAAAAGAATCGACGAAAAGAAGGTATAAAAACAAGGGGTACACAGAAATCAGAAAAAAGAAAATAAAACAGACTGGATAAGCGAATGGGGAGCTGTCGTAAAAATGGACACAATTTATTTTACCAAAATGGAAGGCGGGGGGTAGTAGCATAAAATCAAGTGCAGAATTATGTGGCTTAAAAATATATATCGGTACGAACGGAATGGAGTGGTGAGAAAAAGGGGCCGAGCGGCCGGGTAGAGTTGGACGCGGGCGATGTGGGGTCATCAGATGGAGCGGAGTGGCAGATTGTCCGATTGGCAGATTGCCCGACTGGCAGATTGCCCGATTGGCAGATTGTCCGATTGGCAGATTGTCCGATTGGCAGATTGTCCGATTGGCAGTATTATCGCATCACGCGCAGCGCACGAAGAGGAGTAGCTCCTCCAGCGGTTTGTACCGTGCGACGCCTATCGTTTCTTTCTCTCGTGTTGCTTCCAGTCAAAGGAGCTCAGGGCAAGCTCGATTTCGTACGCGTCGGCGGGCAATTTCCCGTTATACTTTAAAATTTCCTTTTCCTTGTGCAAGAAAAGGCCATTGTTTAGATCTAGCACGAGCTTCCCGTTGAACGGGCCTTCGCCGTAGTCACCCTTTTCGAATTCGACGGTCAAGTCGCCCTTGTTCACTGTGCACTGTGGGGAAAGAAAAGAGAAAAAACACACCAAATATATATATATGTGTATATGTATGCGCCTATGTACAAGTGCAAATGTGCGCAAAGTGTGCACTTTCGCCTGACCCGTTCATATTTTTTTCCCATTTATTATGTAAAAAAGAAAAAAAAAAACAGCTAGCCATTTGGCAGACACATCTTCCATACTGCAGAGGGGTAGACCCACAAACGACTCAATTCTGCTGGCGCGGTTTGCTCATTTGTTACGCATTGGCGTAGCATAAACATGCAGCCGCCTCCACCCCTCTTTTTTTCGAATTACCTTCTTTATTTTCGCGCCCAAGGAGTTTTGGACGGCCTGCGTGAGGTCCTCCTCCGGGAAAGTCTGGGCCAGCCCTACATAATTATAATATATTTCGTTCACTATTAATTCTAGCTCTTCCTTCTCCTCCGTAAACCAGTTGGTTGACATGAGTAGCGTCAAAAGGGAAATGATTTTGTAGTAATCCTTTTTGTCTTTTTCTTTCTCCATCTCGGCTACTTCGGTCCACTGTTCATATACATTATTTACAATGTCCCAAATTTTTTTTTTATCATTTTCTGATATGGTTTCATTTTCCAAAATTTTGGTCATATCTCTAATAAGTTCACACATATCATTTGGGTATACATAATCGGACGATGCCTTCAACCCCTCCATATTTTCCTTTCCCACTGGGGATTTTTTCACAAAAAAATTGCTCTTAGTTTGCTGACGCGAAGCTGTGGGTGATGGACGTATTTTTGTTGTAGAATGTTATGTGATTCTCTGGAAGAACTGGATTGCCTCATTGCATCCCTGTTGCTAGGGTTTCTTCCTCTTCACGGGAGCCAACAGATTGTTCGATCGCGGCCCGCTACTGGTTGGGCCTGGCTCTTTGATTCGTTGTCGTGTTGGGCAGTCAGTCGAGATCATTCGTTCAATATCTCGTTAGTAAATCGTTTATTGCTTGTTAGTAACTCTTTCGTGGATCGTTCCTCACCCGATTGATCACCCAATTCGTCACTTTTCTACGCGCTTCTTTTTGCTCGTCCGTCATGCAACAGGGGACCTGCTAAAATGCGAATCTTTCAATGCATCGAATAATTACTCCCTCTGCCTTCGCCTTTTTTTTATCAAAATGCGTGCGGCCAAGAGAGAAAACGGATAAAATTTCTACATACGTATGGGCTGCACTGTGCTGTATTGCACTGTACTGGACTGTACAATATATGCTTAAATAGATGAGCGCGCTTTTTACGCATATGTAACTGCACCAAGAAATGAAACGCTTACAATGGGTGCCATCAAACGGAAACTTACAAAAACGAGGCATACAAAGCATACGTTCGGGTCCATGCCTTTGGATAGTAATGCTATGTATAACCTCTTCGTATGCATTCCTGTAGAAGAGCACGTATCCAGATGGTGCGGTTAAAAATGTATATATAGAGGAATTCCAACTGGGAGATTGCTGTTTTTTTGTTCTTTTTTTTGTATAGCTTTTTTTTAAGATTCTTTTTTTTTCAAAAAAAAAATGAGTACAAAATATAGAGGAACAGGAAACATCCAATAAAAGAAAATTTCCCACCGTTCAATGGAAATTTTAATCCGTAATTTACCAGCGATTCGAAATATTTTCCGCTCCTCGTGAAGCAAAGGATGATGGGGTTAAAGGATATACGACATAACAAATGGGTCAACAATATTATATAATGGAAAAATAGGAGGCAACACTGCCACATGTTTGATTAAAAGGAAAAAAAAAGACCGTGAACCTGGCGAATAGAGCAGATTTAAGCCACTCGTTTTTCATTTTTATCTCACTTTGCAAATTCTTTTTTTTTTTTTTTCTCCAACGCACGAATTTGTGTTCCACACTTGGTCAACTTGGCTTTTTAAATTGTATATATATGTGTCCTCTAACGAGAGGTAGGGAAAAATTAAAACGGAAGCTTTTTTTACCCGCGTTGCGCTTAGCATCGGGTGAGTAATATCCATTTTGGGAGTGTTGCTTCGTTTTTCTTTTTTTCTTTTTCCGCATCAACCGTGCAAACTGTTATGTCAGAAAAATGCATTTTTCTCAGTATTGACATGAGAAAGGAGTCAATTTGCAGAACTACCTGCAAATGTTAAGTATGGAAGAATGTGCAGCAACTAAGGCGAAGTGGCTACCTTCAATCGTGTAATCTCCCCATTCGTTTGTGCGATCCCTAGTTACGCGGTGAAGCGTTGATCTGGTGGACCAAGCGGGCGAGAAAAAGACCACTTGGATTTGTTTCCACGGATGGGTACACAGAGGTCTACCTTAACAGACACAGCAATTTTTCCTCATCCATTTTTACTCATCTGTGAAAGTGATACCGAATTATCCCCCATGACAAATTTGTTACGTTCTTTTTTCTGCGCCCCGTTCCGTCCTTTCGAAAATTACCTATGAAACGGTGCTGTCATAAGGTTGGCTCAAAAAAAAAAAGGTGCATGCAGGTTGATAGGGGTTGTACTCTCCTGAAGAGGACTAAACTTACTGGACAGGAAAGCGTATTGGATGGAAAAAAACAGATCACCTCCCTCCTTCCATCTCACAGTTGATTCTCACCAAATGGAGGTAACTCCCTCCGTTCGTCTGCCAAAGGTGAGCCACCCCTCTGCTGACTGACAAACTGTTATCGATCTGCGCTGGGAAGTTTTTGCTGCTTGTGGGAGCCACGTCAAACTGGATTTCCCCAAAATTGTTTCGTTATGCATGAGGGTGAAAATGATTTGCCGCCTCGCCACCCACCCCCCACACTCAGGCTATTTCTTTGCTTTAAATTCTTTCTTTACTAGACAACGGTGACGGGGGTCAAGAGGTATTTTTTTTTTCTTTTTTTTTTCACAAAGAGGGGCACATCCCGTTGGGGGACTTCACATCGCGACAAAACGGAGCTAGGGATGGTCCATAACTGTATGCATAATACATAACTACGCGTTGAGGATTTTTCCTCCGCTTAAAATTTTAACAGCCGTGAAAAGTTGGTGCTTGCCTAACGCGCTCTTTTTTTTTTTTTTTTCTTTTCTGTCGTTCAGCTGCTTAACTTTTTTTCTTCACCCCCCATTTTTTGCCTGTTCCATTTTGAGGGACGCGAAACTGCACGTTTGGTTGAAGCTTCCCAGGAAGGCGCAAAATAAAAGCACATCAGTTCGCATACATATGTATACATGCCAAAAGTAGATATATAGGTACATAGTTCCCTCTTTGCTGCTTTCCTTCGACGCGCCGCCTGATTTTTCCTGCTTTCTCTGCCCGCACTTACACCCTCTCGAAGTATGATTCACTTCGTGCTGCTCATCAGTCGGCAGGGGAAAACGAGACTAGCGAAATGGTACATCCCATTGTCGCAAAAGGAGAAGGCGAAAATAATTCGGGAGACGTCCCAGATTACCCTGAACAGGACGCCCAAACTCTGCAACTTTGTCGAGTGGAGGGAATACAAGCTCGTGTTTAAAAGGTTTGCCCACTTGTGTTCCTGAGTGAATGAACGCATATGAGGAAGCGCCCAAGACGGTGTGCTTCCACCCCCCACATTTGCTTCCATCCCCCTATGTGCTTCCAGATACGCCAGCCTCTTCTTCATCGCGTGCATCGACAAAGGAGACAACGAACTAATTACGCTGGAAATCATCCATCACTATGTAGAAATTTTGGACAAGTACTTTGGCAATGTGTGTGAGTTGGATTTAATATTTAACTTTCACAAGGCGTACTATCTGCTGGACGAGATCCTAGTGACAGGGGAACTGCAAGAGAGCAGCAAGAAGAACATCCTGAGAGTGGTCTCCGCGCAGGACTCCCTGATGGAGGAAAGCAAGAGTAGCAAGAAGTTGGGATCGCTCATTTGAGGGAGGAAGCAGTTGGCGTGCCAAATGGGAAGCACACTGACTTCGTCTCACTGCTAGGCGAAGTGGTCCCCTCGCTCAAGGATGCAGAGGTGGATGGTACGTGTGACCGCTTTTGTAGGTTTGCCCATTTTTCGCCCTATCCAACTGGTCACGCCATCCCCGGGTAAACTTCTTTTTTTTTTGTGAAATATCCTTTTGCAGGCGGGGGCGCGTTTATGTTTTTCCAACTTATTTGAAAAGTTTTAAAGCGTCGTTTTTTTTTTTTTCATTTAAAGGTTATTTTTAAGAAGGCGTCTGTTTAGAGAGTCTGTCCAAGACGTCTCTTAAACGCGTTTGTTGAGAGCGTCCCCGCGGGGCACGCAGGAGGAAAAAAAAAGAAAAAAACATTTACAGTGGTACGTAATGCTACAGTGCGTGAAACGGATATGAATAGTTTCCCCCTCTACACCTTTTGGGGGATAAAAATGCAGGTGTATTTTAACAACTTTAGAGTCCCCCCTGGTGCGTAGAGCCCCGTGAACTTGTGCTCACAGACCTGGGTCACTTCGACGCGTGGATCATAATTTGGACGCGTGGGCCTCCTTGGCGGAGTTGTCCTCTTCGTCCGCCTGGGCGGGGCTAGCCTCCGTGGGGGAGAGGACCCTGTCTACGTCGCCCTCGCAGGGGTCCCTGGTGTCGCTCAGTTCATTGGGGGAGTGGTCCTCCTGGACATGGGTCACCCCATCGGCGTTCTTCTCATAATGGTAAGCATACCTCGCAGTGAGCAGAAGCAGTTCATTCAATTTTGTGAGGAGCGAGCGAGGGTCTTCCAAAATGCCCGCAGCGATGCAGGCATTATCATACAGCTGCTGCACTAGAAGCTTTGCCACCTCCTGGTTGGTATTTTTGAGGTGAAAAATCGACGTGACGATGGTATGGGAGGGGTTTAGCTCCAACGTGGCAGGTAAATTATGCAACATGTTATTTTCCTGGAATGAGGCATTCTTCATGGTAGCCTTCATAACCTTCCTCAGCGTTGGGGATAAAAATCCAGTGATCACAGCAGGGGATTCTGTTAAACGGTCGGAGAATTTCACATCTGAGCATTTAGAACCTAAGACGTCTTTGAAATATTTGGCTAACTCACTCTTCTGGGTATCATTAAATATCGCATTTTTCTGTGCCTGGTTGGAAGTTTCGCCCTTGTCGCCGCCTTTAGCCCCGTCCCCCCTTTTGCCATGGAGCAGCTCCTCGTCGAAGTCCTCACTCTGGGAGGAGTCTATAGAAACAAACTTGGCCCCATTAAAGTCCTGCAGATTCATCAGAACAAACTCATCGATTTCTTCAAAAAGAAGAAGAACATCGACCCCCTGTTTTTTGAAAGGCTCCATGTAGGGAGAGGACAAAGCTACATCTAACTCGTTCACGGAGAAGTAGTATATTTTTTTCTGACCGCTTTTAAATTTGTCTACATAATCTTTAAGTGAAATGTTTTTCCTTTCTTGGATGGAGTAAAATCGCAATAGATTCATCAGCACTTTTTTGTAAAAATTGTTTGATGAGTCTTCCAGCACTCCCTCCTTCAGGTAGTAACTATAGTTGGTGTAAAACTTCCGATACTTTTCCTCATCATTTGTGGCTTCTTTCTCTAGTGTTTTCAAAATCTTCGTTACTACTACTCTGGAGATTTTACTTATCAAAGTGCTGTCCTGCATATTTTCTCGGCTGATATTCAGTGGCATGTCCTCGCAATCGATTACTCCCTTGACGAAGTGCAGCCACTTTGGAATTATATTGTCTGCGTTCTTCTTCACTAACACCTTTTTGCAGTAAAGGGAGACTTCAATTTCGTTGCTCTGCTGGAATAACCTCGATGGAGCTTCCTCCGGGATGTAGAAGACGCTCTTTATGGACATTGGCGCGTCGGTTTTGTATAGCACTTTGTACACATATCCCTTCTCATCATCGTAGCTCTTTTTCTTTGTTAAAAATTTGAAAAACCTCGCGTGTTCTTCCTCCGTCACTTGTTCTTTGCACCATAGCGGTTTCTGGTTGTTTATCTGCACTTCCTCTTCGATGAAGCTCTCTGTGTTGTCCCCTTTAGGCGTATCCGCAGCGGTGGTGGCGTCCACTTCTGCCGTGCCGTCGATCGCTGCCCCGTCGATGGCTGCTCCGTCGATGGATTTCTCCCCTTGAAGTCCCTTTTCTTGTGGGAGAGGGGACTTCTCATCCGCCACGTCGTCCCCTTTCACTAAGCGGTTGCTTCCCTTTATGTCCTTCTTCCGATTCACAATATACACTGGGAAGTTAATGAAGGAGGAAAATTTCTCCACAATTTCTTGAACCCTATGGATGTCTGAAAATTCCTTACAGCTGTCCTTAAGGTGACAGACAATTCTGGTACCCCTGGGGAGGTCCTCCACTTCCTTCAGCGTGAAAGTGCCATTCCCATCCGACCTCCAGTGATAACCAACTGAGTTAGCATCATGTGATCGTGTGAACACTTCCACTTCATCTGAAACGACGAAGGAGCTGTAAAATCCAACACCAAACTGTCCTATGATATTATCTGCAGGCTTGGAAATGTCCCCCCTTTCACCTGACTGCTCCGAACAGTTTTTACTCTCCTCAGTTGCGTTACTGCTTTTCTCCTTTAACGCGTTTAGGAAGTTCAGAGAGCCACTTTTCGCTATCGTTCCCAAGTTCTCAATCACCTCCTCTTTGTTCATACCAATTCCGCTGTCCTCAATTATGAACAAATTTCTCTTCGCATCTGCAGATACCTTGATGTGCAGAGGGATCTCAGCCGCTTCATTAGCTATGGTCTCGTCTACACTTCTTATTGACGCTGTTTGAGTGAATCTCCTTTTTTCCAACGCATCGGAGGAGTTACTAATAAGCTCCCTAATGAATACTTCTTTATCAGTATAAAGCGAATGGGCAACTATTTGTAGCAGCTTCTTCGTCTCTGCTTTAAATTCATAGCTTGTTTCCCCTGCGGTGGTAAAATGTTTCACAAATCTTCCACTCTTGCTCAGTTCTTTGGCCATTAATTGAGCGTACCATTTGTTATGCATATTGTTACCGCTGCTAATCTTTCGCAGCCCTCTACACGTGGCCTCCGCTACTCTGTTCTTCGTCTGTGCTTCCACTACCCCGCATGCTTTGTTTATCTGCAAGGTGGATCTGGCAAACTTTGATAGGCTCATGGTTTGCAGTGCGGTTTTTTTTGGTTTGCTCGGTTGCTCAGCTGCGTGGCTCCGTCGCGCTTGGTGAAAGCGGCATACGTACGCGCGGGGGGATGATCCGCGGGTGGGAAAAGCGTCGGCAACGCGTGAGCAAAGCGTCGGCGAAGAATAGGCAAGATGTAGGAAAAACGCTGACAATTTCTTCTGCCAGTGGTATTAAAATATGCTGCTAATCTTGCGAATCTCTTGCGAATGGTTTGAAAATAATTCCAAAATGGCTAACAAATTTTTCGGTCGTCCTTCTCAAAAGGGAGGGCAATTTTTTCTAGCACAACGCGACTTTTTTTCAGCTCTTTTTTTTTTTTATTTTTTCCTTTCACGCACTTGGAGCGTATACCTCGCGTGCTTGCAACTTTGCCACGTCGTGTAGGGGAGGCGCCTCCAATAGCACAGTGTTCTCCCCCTCCGTGGCGACGTCACAGGTTCCACATTTGGTGCGGAGGCTGAGCCTACAGATATATCGCTCCTGTTGCGTGCATTTTTCACTTTTGCATGCGGGTAAAAAACGTACCTATGTGATGATAGCTCCTTATTAAATGAAGAATCCACCCCTGTGAGAAAAACATTTTGAGGGAAAAAGGCCACTTAAACGCACCCACATGGAGGAATTACGTACAGAGAACTACGCGGGTGCATGTAAGATTAAACGGCTGAATGCACCTTGCGCGAGTCCCCCGTTTGATCATCTCGTACCTATGTTACATCGAGGGGCAAAAGAAGGAGGAGGGACAAAAAAAAAGAAAAAAAGGGCACCCTCAAACTAGAGGACAAAATATCAATTTGTTGTACTCTCACATTCTATGAATTGCAACTGAGTTTTATTTTTTTCCCCTGACCGACACAATTGCCGATTCGCTTTCACTGCTACACATAACTTAGTGGGTAATTTTCTTCCATAAAAGTTGGGGAACCACATCAGAAACTATCCCCCCCCTCCCCGTGGGGGTAACTTATTTGTATGGGCCCCAATGAGATGCATGTCCCCCCGTAACGTCAAAATGGAGGAAGCATCACGGGAGTCACATTAAACATGGCGGATGGGAATTCTCCCATCGAAGGGGTTGATAAAAGTATCGACTAGCCAAAATGTTTTATTTGTTTTTTTTTATATTTTATTTTTTTTTTTTTCTTGTGGTCATAATATTTGCACACATTTACGGCGCAATTTTGAGAAAACTTCTTGCCGTTAAGGTGATTTGTTCGGTGTGATATCCCCGTTTGTCCACTACCCGATGGGGGGGTTGAAGATTCAACACGTGTGGAGAGCAGTTCGCCGGAATGGGAAGCACTTTATAGGGACTTCCGTCCACGCGCATGTGTCCGTGTGTACATATAGGCACATTTGTACGTTTATTTGCGCTCCTTAAATCGCCCACCCTTCGCTAGCCCTCCTCTTCGAGAGGCAAAACAACCGACGCGAAAAATAACAAACATGCAGACGGGAAAAGGGAAGGCGCTCGCCCCCCTCATTCCACGAAGCGACGTCTAATGGGAAAACATGTATATATACGGAAGTACATACATATATATATATACATCAATATGTGTAACAACAATGCGGCGAAAAAAAAATGACTTCTTTTTGTTCGTCTCTTCCCATTTGAAAACGAAATTAAGTGTTCCCCCCTAGGGGGTCATCACACAGGAATGAAGCGGACAAACAGTGGTAGGGTTCATCCCGATGACCCATTCAATAAAACAGCGCCCACGCGTAGCTTCTTCCATGGCATGGGTAAAGAGACCACGCATGATGTGGCATTCGTTCCGACATAAAGCTCGTGTGCGTCAGTTCCATTGAAGTAGCTCCTATTAACTCTCATCATTTGGTACACCACGAAGCATCGATTATTTTTCCTTTTTGTTGGGAGATAACCATTTATAGGAGCCCCCTCTCGGCATGAGACTTCTTCAACCTTTGCCAGGTGGGGCGAGTCCACTCCTCGCAGCAAAATTGTTCAAAAGGATGATCCTTGTTGCGCGTAGGAACAAGAACGTACTTCTTTGCAGGAAATCGAAATCGGGCCGGAACTCGACGTGCTCATCGAATTTGTAACCTTATCCGTTTTGTTTTCCTTAACAAAGGGAGAGTTACAAGGAGAAGG